CTCTTTCTTTCCTCTATTTTTCCCCTCTCACCCACGGGTCTATGACCAACACTGTTTATATCTCCTCTCTGTTCTTTCTATTAATCTTTCTTCCCCTACCCACTTCCTTTCCATCTGTTTGTGGATCCTTGCTAGTCATATCTTTTTATCCTCTCTTTCCTACTCTTCCCACTTGGAACTTTCTTTACTTCTTCATTTCTTCACTTCTCTCTTCCAAAACTTCCTTTAAGAACATTTCTATGAGCTTTTTCAAGAATGACCTTTGCAAAGTCTCCGTTTATTCCCTCACTTGTTTTCACTCTATCCTGTCTGTGTCTGATCTATGTTGAAAAGTCCATGGATCAGGGACTGTGACACTTTGAATAAATCTATAATGTTAAGCTCTTCTTCAATGATCTATATATAATAACAAAGTGATGGGGAAAATGAGATAACATAGGCTTCATTTTTAAAAAGTGAAGCTTAAATTGCTGTAACCTTCAGCTTAGAGTCTACCAGTTCTCTGGAGTTTTTAGTATCATTTGCTATATTTCTTCCTTTAATAGAAAAGACCCAATTCTTTTTTTGGTTATATACATGCAGTCACACTGAAACCAGCAATTGGAGCCAAATGCTATCTACAGTTACACTCGTGTAGCCTCCTTCACTTTATGGATTTGCCCAAGTGTGACTGAAGATAGAATTCATTACAGAATTAGCTTCACTACAGCATTTGATTTTGTTCATGTGCAATGAGGAACTAATCCTGGTCACAAGGGGGTCCCCTAGAAAGGGAATTAATGTGGTTCTTCTGTATGAAAAGGATTTGGCATGGTAGGAGGCAGGTAGCAGCAAGCTATGATGAGTTTCAGAAAAGAACAAAGGATCCTTTTTCTTGGTCTCTCTTTATCCAGACAATTCTGCCATCACTACTCTGCTCCTCTGATAGAGAATGCCTTTTCATCTGTCAGTACCTAACCGAAGTACTCAAGCTTAGAGCTATATTCCTAAATAAACAAAGTAAGGTAGTAATAGTTTTCTAATTTTAGGCTGCATTAGTCCCTATGAATGTTGAAGCAGGCAGGGAGTTACCCTAATGCAGTGGGGGTCAACCTTCTTTGCAGTGGTGCTACAAATTAGCATCCTCCCTGAATGCAACTCTGATCCTTTTCTCTTCCTGGATCTACTGTCAGCATTTTGCTTCCTGTCTGGTGCTTCTTGACCAAGCTGCTACTCTGCTTTCTGCTTCCTTCCCTGTACTTTCTGCCTGATCTGATGCTCTTCTACCTGCTCCCTTCCCTATCTGCCACTGTGGCCATGTATACACGAGACAGTTACTGAGCAATAGTTACTACTGCACAGTAATGTTGGGCACAAACTGTGACGTGATGCTGCTGTGCAGTAGTAACGAGCTACTGTGCAATCAGCATCACCAGGAAGCCATGCAGGGATGTTACTGTGCAGTAATGTTGGTTACTGCACAGCCATTTAGTATGCAAGTGTGTGTGCAAGTACTAAATGACTGTGCAGCAACTGTGCAGTCAGCATCTTGTGTACACGTGGCCTGTGCTACCTGTCTCCTTCCTATGCCACTTGTGGCACCAGTACTGCAGGTTAGTCATCCTTGCTCTAAGTAATGATAATTGGCTCTAGTTCCTAAAGGACCATTAACCAGCAAAAGATTTCTATAGGGGAGCAAAGCTCAAGCATCACAAAAGGAATGGTATTAAAAATCTAACCCTTTCTTTTTGAAAGCTATGATTAAATTACTGTTTGGGAGGAATGGTTAAGATTACTTTATATGATAAAACTGAAAAGGTATAATATTAAGCAGGAACCTTTGCCCCAGACAGTGAGTGAAGCTATTTGAGATTCAGAAATTAATCATCCAAAGGGTTTAGCATTTTTAAATGATCATAGTGGGTAGGGGGCAGGAGGGAAGAGCAGAACAGAGCAGAGAGAATTTGGCTTATATATATATTGTTCATGAGTCAATTCAACATGATTTTGTCCATTTAGAAATCATGATATATACATCTCTCTCTCTCTCTCTCTCTCTCCCCCCCCTCTCTCTCTATATATATATATTATGATTTCTAGATGGACAAAGTCATGTTGAATTGGCTCATGAACAATCAGTTTAAATGTTGAAAAGGATGGCTTGTTGATTTTTAAAGTGCATTTTCAATTAAATGTTACCCCAAGCTTAATCATCATTTACAACGATAAGTGTTGTACTCTGTTGTGCTTAACCACTGCAAAAACTTTTCTCAGTAAATTTAGCAAAACTTCATAATATCAATATGTCATCAAGAATGCACTTGTGATAATACTGTGTCAGTGTCGGAGTAAGCCAAACAGCACCACACATTTTGAACAACTTTACCTTATTATAGACTATGTTTAGTG